TTGATAGTTCTGAGTTGTTGTCTTTTGATTTTGGGGTGAAGGCATTGTATTTCTCTTGTAGTGAGTTGTGTTTTTGGTTTTGTATTTTGTTGGCATTCCTGTGGATTGTGTGTTCTAAGGTGTCTGTCAGGTCTTATCCGATGGAGTTGAGGCATGTGGTTTTTTTATTCATTGATGATGCATTTGTATTTTTTCCAGGCAGTTGTGGGCATTGGTGATCATGATTCGAAGCATTTTGAATCCGTTTTGGAAGTCCAGCTTCCATGCTTGCGGGTGGCAAATAGTGTTATTTTTTTAGTTTCCATAATGAAAAATTACCCATCCCTTTTCTCTTTCAGAATTCTGTGTTTTATTATTTCTAATAGCAATCTACACTGCATTAGATTAATTGTTAGAATATATTCAAGAGGCTATCATTTTCTGGTCTAACTAATTATTAGACTTAATCAAGGAAAAGATTCAAATTCTGTATCATGCTTTTCATGCTTAATTCATACCTTTATTTCCTGTTGGAGTAAATTTTAATATTCTTTCCCTATTCTATGAAGATGTCCATTGGTTTTTCTTCTGCCATGTTCAGATAATTATGGATGCTTAGGATTATTGGAATTGCATTGTTTGAGATGCTCACATTCTTCCCTTTGCCATTCTCCCGTAGTTATTTGACCAAGTCTTATATTCTTCCCCTTAAGAATAGTCCTGAAGGAATTCTATTTACATTTGCATTAGATCAAGTTACCAAAGTTATTCACCAACAGGAGCTACCAATCCATTTGATAGTTTTCTTATGAAATCTAATTAATTCTATTGGGTGTTAATCATGTAAAAAAAAAAACACCTCCTTTCTCTTTTTCTTATGTGCTGAAAAGTGAAAACAGAAAATATCTAATGGTCCTCTAGACTCAACACAGAGCTTAGAGCTTGTAGGGTCAATCAGACCCCCCCTGCTGTTAAGTTACACCCCTTCAATAATAGACTTTCTGCCCATCCCTGATATGGGAGGAAACTTTTCAACCGCCATCCCACACCATCCCAACAGCAGTCCTTTTAATGTGCTTCTGCAGCAAGGCTAGTTAAACTGCTTCCCACACGGAAAGTGAAGTATATTCATTTCTGTACAACAATCGGAATGGGAGAAGAGGTTGTGTGCAGATTTTTCCACCCTGGAAGAAACAATCTCCCTTTAAAGCTCTCTAGCAGGAGAGCTTAACTGAGATTCTAATTACAGTAAATCCACTGAGGTGGAGGGAAGGGATTTGGACCAGAAGAGAAGCTTACCCAATTTGTTCTGGGTATGTAGTCCTATGTTTTGCAGGAGGCTACTCTAGGAATTTACCTTGATGCCCAAAAAAATAGACTGCTAGTTGTCCTTGCTCAGGTTTAGCTACATTCACTGGCTTTTATCTTCTGGCATCAGTTGTCCTTGATGTATCTTGTTTTGTTCTTCTTCAAACTCTCCCACCGAATTTGTTTTTTTTAAAGGGAGACGTATGGAGAGCAAAAGTAAATAAGTGGCAAGTAGTAGCAAACCAATATGTTCTGGCTACTTTCTTTATCCCATGTATGCATGTGGGTGCATGCATGCTAATGTGCTTGTAGATGATCTTGGCAGAGATGTCCAAGCTTCATTATCAAGGTGATATGAACTTAATCATTTCCTAAATTCAAAATGTCCAGATAACATTTGGAAGCAGATAAGGCAGATACCTCCCCCCCCAATTCACTGGAGTATAAGAAGGATGGAACACAGTGAAATCAGACTTGCTGAATTCTTTTATTACAGCCAAACTCAAGAGAAGTAGTATTAGCCTTCCTGTGGAGTTGATTTCTTGGTCTGGTTTGCCAAATATGGCTGACAATACTCAACAAATGGTAAACAGGCCCCCTCAGAGTCAAGGCTGGAGGGTGAAAAATGGACCTAAGCCAGCACACTGTATTGTAAAACCGCCCACATGTGCAAGCAATGAAAGGAATAAGTAGTATAACAGCTGTTAACAGCCACTTTGCGAAAAGGAGACTGGCAGACCAGAATGGGATAGGTCAGAACAGGAGAGTGTGTGGTGACAGTGGAGAATTATTGGAAGAGGGGAAAATAGGCAGGAAGTGATGAGTCTCCATCTTGCATGGGTTCCCTCAAATGTGGCAGCACTTCCGTCAGCTTCTTCTCTCTAGTTGTCTCTTTGAATTTTGTTTGCTACATTGTTACCAGTTATATTGCCATTATTTTTGTTTGCAGTCTACTTTTTTTAATATAAAATGTACCATAAGTTAGCAGAAATAAAAATAATAGTTTTACTTACCAGAAATCCAAAAGCCTCAGAACTGTGTAAGCCACCTTGTTATGTCTTGCAATTTTTCTACCACAGTTTCTCTCTCTTTTCAAAGCAAAATGCAAAATCTTTGGGAAAGAGAAGTCTAAGAACATGAACCTCTGAAAACTTCTGATATGGGGAAAATGCAACCATCAGAAAAAAGGGCCACACATTCTTCTCCGGATGGTTTTTAAACAACCTGGGGGGAAATTTGGCTTTGATGCTTATTTGTTCCTTGCAGAAAAGTTAAAAATTTTAATTAGATTTTGTGGCCATTTTTTTCCAAAATGTATTGAAAAATAACAGCACTATGATTCCAATGCTTTACACAGCCAGGTCTTTCCCTTTGCTATTTCTCTCCTTTCTTAACAGAAGGCAAATTACATTATAAATACAATAAACACAAAAGCTATTTATAGACAATTATTAGGGCAGTTGGCAAAAAATTGGATCAAGGGAAGAATCAAGCAAAGGCTTTTTTTTTTTTAAAAAAATGATCCATGCAAGACACTAATTTTCATACAGAGTTTATTCATCTGATAACTCAGTATAGAGCTCGCTTGCTTCAAATATTCAAGCAAACTAGTGACAATATTTGGAAATGCTTATTATTTACAAAACAGATTCATGGCATTCTAATTTCTTGTTAAACACAAACTAGGTTTTTCTCATGTAGTTCTCTTGAATTGATAAACACCTTCCAAGGACTGATGAGCTGATTCTGATATTTAGAGGGACCAGACCAAGTAATCAAGTTTTGCCATTTTCTATGTGTCAAGTGACAACAGTTTTTCAAGAGAGACACTTCAAGGTCTCACTGTATGAAATAAAGCAGGATTGCATTCAGTTTTCTACAGCCAATATAAGTAACATAAAAATTGACTAATGAGGAATAAAATGTTGACCACCATTGGAGACAGCTAGTCATTAATAAGCAGTTATTTAATGTAATTGCTTTGAAACTCAGGAAAAATATGTAATTTTCAGTCTGATTGCTAACTGTGATGGAATAAGGAAGGGATAAATGAACTATTAAGGAAGGAGCTTCAAAGAAGATCAATCCTGGGGAAAAAAAGTGTGAGAAAGGAATTTGGGGTAGCTTGTCCTTGATGTTGTTTGTTACAATGTGTGGTAGAAAAACAGAGTGATAGGAGAGAGAGAGAGAGAGAGAGAGAGAGAGAGAGAGAGAGAGAGAGAGAGAGAGAGAGAGAGTGATTCTAAAACAGTAAAGAGCATTCCCGAAACTCTTGCTGTTCCTATTTCTTGACGGTTCCTGCACTGAAAGACTAAGATCAATCTTCAAAGCCTCCTACTCTCTTTTAGAGAGGCATTAGACACAGAATCTGAAACTAAACCATGATGATCGATCCTGTGTATTGCATGCAGAGCAAGTAGTAAGATTCTCCTGTAGTTATCAAGAGCAGATACCTACACAGATAATGAACCTGCATGATGCCATGAAGTACTTAGCACAGCACCTAGGACTAGCACCTCAAATTGCTTCACAACCATTGTTACTTTGATTTCCTGGAAGCCTATCATTTGAATTGTTTCTGGTTGGCAGATCAATAGAATATATGATTAAACCAAAGTAACGTTCATTCTCAGCTTGCTGAAGGATGGAGCAGTTCCATGGGCAATTTCACTCATTGAAAACCATCATGTGATCTTAGACAACTATTGTAATTTCACACAACGTTTTAGAACTGCCTTTGATGATTCAGCCAGAGGAAAGGCTGAAAAATGGGAGAGTCACAAACTGCAACAAAGAAATTCCCAAGTTAGTGAGTAGATAGCTCATTTCAAATTGTATGCCTTTGTGTGTGCACTAAAATGATTTTGCCCTGATAGAACAGTTTGGGGGTGGGCTCTCTGATGAACTGAGGGATGAATTAGTAAGACAAGACAAACTAGACAATTTAGAAGAACTATGTCAGTCTTGTGTGCTAACCAGTGTGTTTGGAGGAGTGGACGCATGGGAGGTGGAGGAACGCTACTGTATATGGTTTCATATTGTCTCCTCTGTTTCCCATCCTGGTTGCCTCCTTGGAGCAGATGCAAATAAAGGTAGTAAAGAGAGCCTTGTCTGCAGGGGAAAAAACAATGAAGGTGAGACCTCAGTTTTATTATGGAGCGCTTGGAAGCCTAGCCATGGTTTGTCCTGCTGAAGTTCCTTACTCTGATTTGACTTGGAAGGTCCATATCTATGGAAACATAGGTCATCGTGCAAGTAAATGCCCAGATTATTCCAGAGCCCCATCTTCAGAAATCTTTGCCGATTCCCCTCCCATGAGCTTAGCAGGGGCAGCTTCATATAATTAATAAGAACTCCAATGGTTGGAGGAGGCAAATGCATGTTATGATCTCTGTTATTCTGCACATCTCTACAGGCACAGAAATGCAGGTCTCTGTTCGTTTAGACTCTGGCACAAGAGCTAATTTTGTGTAGTGTAGTGTATCATTTTGTTTTACCCCACACAGTCATTGGAAAGGCTAATATTAGTGGAAATAATTGATAGCCAACTGCTTTGAGCTGGTCCAGTTTTGCAACATATACTTCATAACATATGCTGTTGAAAAGAAATGTTCAACCTGGGACGCTGGTTTATAGAAAAGCTGCTAGATAAGCACCCATGCATCCAACCCACCCAAGCCAGCCCCCCCACCCCAGCACTTCACCTCCCAATGAGCCTTGCCTGGTGTAACATCCCCATCACAAGACCCTCAGCTGACACACCCATACCTGACCCATCACAAGACCTACTGACCACACGAAGCCCTTATAAACAGAAGAACACTGACACTGAGATCCTATAAACTCCGCTGAAGATGTTGCCTAGCTTGGTAACAAAATGTTCAGAAACCAACCCACAAACTCAGAGAATTAATGTTCATCATCTCACCCATGCATGTCTGAATATATGATTTCTTGACCATCCCTCCCCTCAGGATCTTGAGTCAGACAATTTTACTCTTTCCCTCAAAAAAGGAGACTCCAGAGATAGTAAGGCTTGGGGGACAAACAATGTTAGATCAGATTTGCTTACAACAGAGCTCAAATGTCAGGGCATGAATGGATGGCCTGTATGGAGTCTCACACACACTGATTGTTTTCATTTCGCTGTGAATAAAGTATAGGTATTATACAACAGTTTACACTTTGTACATACAGTAGCACATTTGCACATGCCACTTTATTTCAAGAAAGAAATACTGCAATTCATCCACAACATTATAACTGCCAGATACGGGACAATGTTCAAAGAGTTGCATCTCCTGCACAGGAGGACTAAGATGAGAACAGATGTCAAAGACTATGTTTGTGTAGATCTTCTCTGCCAGATTTGCTCATTGACCTTGACAAGCTGCTAAGTGCATATTCACACATAGCAGTAATTCTATCAGCCGGGTGATGCAAAATAATGTAGATCTGGCCCTGGGAAGGAGAAAGGGATGAATGAACTCATTAACTGTTACACAGTTCTGGGAAAGAAGAAAGTGTGAAAAAGAAACTCAAAAATATTCCTGCCTTGATTTTGTTTGTATATAATGTGGTGGAGAGAAAGGTTGACAGGCTTCAAAAATGCTGTTATAATACCCAGGAACAATAAAGAACATTCCAGAAATTCCTGCTTCTTGACCTTGCCTGCTTCAAAGAGCTGATACTAACTCACATAGTATTACTATTTTGAATCACTGATCTGTGTTAATTTACAATTGGCATGTAAATTGTCAGGGGTCCTTGGTGCTTTCTGAGCTTGCTTGTTTTCTTGCAGACGTTCATTACCCTAACCAGGTAACACCATCAGTTCTAATAAGGAGTGCTAACAGCACTCGGCACTCCTTACTAGCACTGATAATGTTACCTAGTTAGGGTAATGAACTGTCTGCAAGAAAACAAGAAGCTCAGAGAGCACCAAGGACCCCACATTTCAACCCTGAACTACAAATATTCTCCTTTAATGGTACATGTACATTGTGTTATACATATCACTTTGGTATCCAGGTTACTCAACATTGCTTACCACCACAGAGGTATTGCTTTATTTTAGGAAATACCCAAACATTGGATGAGTATGGGTTTGTGTGCAGAGTTGTACCCCATATATGCTTTCCAGATTAAATTTATCATAAGACTTTTAATTTGAAGCTATTTTGGATATTGATACCTATTCCCATAGCTTTGTTTGCCATTCTTCTAAATGAGGAATTGTCTGCAGTTTTCACTATGAAGCATAAATTACCTTAACAGTTGTTTTACTGTATACAAAACCAATTTCATATTCTTTGTAGGAATATACAGAGAAGCTTAGTAATTTTTTGGCAATTAACCTTAATTGACATATTGATGAAAAACCATCTTGTATACATTTTCTCTAAATGTAATATTTGCAGTAAATGTCATATTTTCTATTGGTTTTTCCATTGTTGCATGTCAATCACCTTATTCATATTCTGCATCCATTTACTCATATATTTGATTTGTTAATTTCTAAATTGCATTTCAGTAAGAATGTATAAATAAGGCCCAACTGAATTTTGTCATATAAACTTTCCAATTTAAATTTTTAAAAATATCATTTATTTGAAGATACTGGAACCAGTGAAGCATTTCTGACAATTTCAAGGACAGAGTCTTAAAAGAGTTTCCTTTTATTTTTTAAACTTAAAAATTTCCAGTCTAAATAGGTTATTACGATTTCATTGATCAGATAATTAAAGGGGTGATAGACCTGGACTTAATTCTTTTGTATTTATTCTATGCTTTTAATCTATATAGTTCTAAAACTCTTGTCACGACCTTTAATTGGGCAAAACAGTATATATATGGCAACAGTTTTTGAACCTAGGTACCTCAAATGGACTAATTTATAGAATGTGTCCAAAATCCAAGACTTCTGACTCTCAAGGAAATAAAATTTGGCAAAGTTGTGGCTGGTTCAGTGCTATTGGCTGCTTCTGTGTTGGTGCTGCACTCGCATGATCTTTATTTTTGTGCGTGAACGAAGTCTGGACTCCCAGGAGGAAGGAGCTGCCTTCCAGAGGACAAAGAGGCAAGGGAGCTTGAAAAGTTTGGTCAAGAGAAAGAGTGTTAAAGTGGCTCCTCCCTAGCTTTTCCCAAAGTATAGTTATGAAAACAGTTGCTTTAGTCTGACAAGATTCTGTCTATAAGAGAAGAACAAGTAGCTCCTCATGTTACTCTTGGTCCTTGGAGCCTGACAATTTTCTATGTTCCATTACAGTTTCCTAGCCAATCTTGTAATCCCTTGCTCTCTCTTCCACCCAGTAGCAGCCACTTTCCACACTCACACTGGATTATCATTCTATTAACTGAAATTAGTTTGACTCTAATTTCCCTTTCAAATGAACTGATAAATCTAGAGATTCGCATACTTTTGCCACAGTTATTTGGGTGAGTTTTCTTCCAGTTTCTGTTAATGGTTAATGTTTTTCAAATCTTTGTTAAAATAATTCATTTTGTCAGGATTACACCTCTGAATATGTGTAGCACATTAAGTAGCAGATTTGCTTACACAATTCATACCACTGTAATGGGAGAAAGGCAAAATATAACCATATATTGGAAGATTCATTAGGAATTGAAATTGTTCATTTCTCTTTTCTCATCCATTTTTAAAAATTATTTAAGCATGCCCAAAGAATTCTTTGTAAAAGAAGCTGCCAAATAGCTTAAATACGCTGATGCTTGATGGCCATTTAAACACTATATTGTAAAGCGATCACCTATGTCAATATTTCATTTTATTTCTTGTGGGAAATGTGAATTTGCTTAAACAGGGATAAAGCATAATCAATTGCCTCGAGAGTAGTCAAAATGACTTCAGTGGGGCTTTTATGAAATAAATGGATTGAGAATGAAAACCTTAATTAAGCTATCCTTTTACCAACCAGATAATTATTTTTGCATTAATTATTCTGTCATGGCTATTGCTTTTGATGACAGACAGGAGACTGTCATGGGGGAAAGTCTGCTACTTGTTAGCTGATGGCCAAGAAAGAAAATTAATAACATTGCATATTAGAACAGTTCTAAATTTTAAATGTATTTCCAATGCTAATGATATCTCATAAAGCTTATCACTTTATGGGAAGTGAAGGAGGCTTTCTTAAGATTGTGTAAGTATTGCTAGATATGTTTCTAGAGTACTGTTAGCATCTTCTGTTGTCCAAATGTAAAGTTGTACTTTCTGATTGAATATCTGCATGAAAGCCCAAAGAGGTAGCTTCCAAAATAATATACTAGGCAATATGAATAAAATCTAGCCTTGGTTTCTGGAATGATTGAACCACAATAATGTCAAATACTGAGAAAACAGATCATGAATTTAGGTTGCGTAGACTAACTTTACTATGTTTTTTGTGAAATATATTCAGACTTTTTATGGAGAAATAATAAAGCTTCCTTTTGCTCTTAAGCATATAATTGAGAAGATAGCCACATAATGGGAGCCTGCAATGTAAGATGTGGTTGCAGTATGCCTACATAGCATGCACCCACTACAGTATAACATGTCCAAAATTCTTTGTTGCATGTATTTAATGTCATAGTCCGTAAAAGAACAATAATATACCATTAAGAGTATATTGCATATTTTCTGATAATGTCACTTCATGTGGCAACTTCACATGATTTTATGATAAGCTACATTAACTGTTGAATCATTGTTCTATGATAATATAGAGATATTTAATGGCAACAGTTTTCTAAACTTTCAGATTCGATTCCTTCTCACCCCTATTTGAACATCTAGATATGCAGAAGGGAAGGTAAAAATTGGTATTTTAAGTATGGCTTTATTTGATTTTTTTTTTTTAATTTGATTTATATGCCGCCCTTCTCCGGAGACTCAGGGCGGCTTACAATGCGTTCAGCAATAGCCTTCATACTTTTGTATATTTATACAAAGTCAGCTTATTGCCCCCACAAACTGGGTCCTCATTTAACCTACCTTAGAAAGGATGGAAGGCTGAGTCAACCTTGAGCCTTGGAGAGATTCGAACCAGCAGTAAATTGCAGGCAGCTGTGTTAATAACAGGGTGCTTTAAACCACTGTAGTACCAAGGCCTTGCATTGGTATGCATTTGCATACCAATACCTTGATTTGCATTGGTATTGCTGAATCTTATTTTAAAAGGGCATACAATATCAGAAAATTGTTATAGCCTTTTCAGATAGTTTTGAATAGTTTGGCTACGTATAAGCCACGGTGGCGCAGGGGTTAGAATGCAGTACTACAGGCTACTTCTGCTGCCTGCCTGCTGCCTGCGATTTGGCAGTTCAAATCTCACCAGACTCAAGGTTGACTCAGCCTTCCATCCTTCCGAGATCAGTAAAATGAGGAGCCAGATTGTTGGGGGCAATATGCTGACTCTGTAAACCGCTTAGAGAGGGCTGTAAAGCACTGTGAAGTGGTATATAAGTGCTATTGTTACCTGATTTCTATGAGATGGTAAAAAAGAGAATTTTCTGATTTGTTCTGCCATCATCTATTAATTATATGGATTGTTGCACCCAGATTTGTAGCCCCATGGAGTAGGCTGCAGGTCTACTATGAAAACCAAACTAATCTTGAGAAATTCACATACAAGATATTCCCTTCTTTTCAGTTTGAGCTATCTGGGAATAAATCTTTTTTCACTGGGGGCTAAAAATCTGAAGGAGTGAAACTAGTCGAGTCTTTGAGGAAGGAAGACAAATGGATGATTAATCCAGATGAGTCAATCATGGTCCTACTTGCTCAGAAGGCAGATTAGGGTTGCCAGGTCTGCTTCCCAAAAATAGTGGACAAGCGGGGGGGGGGGGGGGGGGGGGGGAGTAGTAAAAAATTTTTTTTAAAAATTTACAATTAAATTATATATTTTCTTACAAACATTTTAACACGTATTAAAATAATCACTTCAAAACTTTACTTAAAATTCAAAACATCAAATATATTATAATAATATGTAAAATATTAAATTACATTTTAATTTCATCATAAAGCTTTTGAATAAAAAAAATGTCCACTATTTTGTGAAAAAAAATAGTGAACATAATGTGAAAAAAGCGGACTGTCCGCTCAAATAGTGGACACCTGGCAACATTAAGGCAGATTAATATATTTCCAGCCATTTTGATGAGAAAGGCGAGACATACAGCTAATAAATATTATCCCTTGTTTTCTACAGTTATGTAGTGTTCCTTGGTGAAACCTGCAGGCCCCCTCAGGCATTGCTTTCTAGGTAATAACCAAGCATTTCACTTCACAATAATGTTATTCATTAAAAAGTGGAATAATTTGTAAGCAATCATATGCCAAACTATCTCAGCATCAAGGTCTGCGAGGCAGAAGCTCGACATAAAAGGAAAGAAAAAACTTGTAGCTATGGAGATTTGCACAGTATTGGGGTTTGGTTGAAAACAAAATCTTCTTTCCCACAACTACCTGTGAGCAGAAAAGAAGTACATATGCTTCCCATTAGATACCAACCACTGATTCAAGCACTGCACTATAGAATACCATGAACATATAAAGGGGATAAACCAGGACTAACTTTACTTCAGGGGTCTCCAGCCTCTGGTCCATGGTCTGTTGGGAACCAGGCCATGCAAGTGGCAGGCAAGCATGCGAGCCTGCAAAGCTGCATTTGGACAAGTGGCGCACACACAAAACCATCCCTTCTTTCTCCCTGCTGCTGCCAGCGGCGGTCTGCAGAGCCAGAAAGGCTGGGGACAGTTGCTTTACTTCAATCCTTCATCATTGTCCGGGTGGTCCATCATCTGTTAACTTCTTCAAAAGGCAAACTTGTTTTTCATCTCCGTAAGTTTTCCTTATAAGTCTGACTTCAGAAATTAGTAGTTGGAAAATACCTGCGCGTAAAGTTAAAAAAACTACACACAAACTAATGCAAATGAATGATGCAAGCATGCACGGACTGCAGAAAGAAAAAATGAAAAGAAAGAATAGAAAGCAGTTTCCAATTTCCTTTGCAGCAAATGTAAGTACACTTACAAAATTATCTCTTACTCTGATTATAAAATAACTTCACTTTTTTATTATCATCAAAACCACAAATCATAAGCATACTTTATTCTGTTTCATGCAAAAAGTCTATAAGAGGTTTCCATTCGACCATAGAGATTATTTTTTGTCTAATCAAAGAGATTAATTTAGCCATCTCTGCAAATTCCATAATCTTTATTTAATCTCCATCTGGAAAAATTAGATTTTATTTTATAAAGTAAACTTACACGATTATGAACAGAGAAGGTTTTTGATAAAATCTCTACTTTAGTTGCCTATCATTTTTGATCCATTTATTACACATGGCATATTGAGAGTATAGCAATAGCACTTAGACTTCTATACAGCTTCACAGTGGTTTACAGCCCTCTCTAAGCGGTTTACAGAGTCAACATATTGCCCCCAACAATCTGGCTCCTCATTTTACCGACCGTGGAAGAATGGAAGGCTGAGTCAACCTTGAGCCGGTGAGATTGAACTGCTGGCAGTCAGCAGAATTAGCCTGCAATACTGCATTCTTACCACTGCGCCACCATGGCTTATGGAATAGATACAAATGCAGGTTGTGCCCAAAAACACATGAGATCTATGGATCTCAGTACAAGAAGCATTTTACAGAAGTGAAGGGTTAGGGAAATACAAATGGGTAACGTACCAGAAATTATTAGACAATCACCAAGATGAATATTAAATTAAATCAAGTTAGCAACTAATGGTACAAGGATATAATTGTCAATGGTTTTCCCATTTACAGTTATCAGAAAGATTTAAGATAGATAAACAGACTTATGGTATGGAGCATAAAAAAGATAATATTTAATTGCTAAAGCATATAAACTGAAATGGAAGAACAGGTTGAAGAATGTATGATAAAGTGGGCTACAAATGTTGGTTATAATATATGGATCAATGGGAAAATATGTTGTTAAAAAGGGTTGAAATTTCCTTCCTTCCTTCCTTCCTTCCTTCCTTCCTTCCTTCCTTCCTTCCTTCCTTCCTTCCTTCCTTCCTTCCTTCCTTATCTGAACCACTCATCTCACTCAAAAATTATATTAAGATCTTGAAAAGAATTGTTATAAAATGATGTATTGTTGATGCACCACACCAAACAAATTATTTAGAAACTATAAAAGCATTTCAAATATTATATTGGAAATGTGAACAACATAAGGGGACATTCTATCATGTTTGGCTGACATGTACAAAAGCCTAAAAATTGATTCAAATACACACATTGATAGAGAGGATTTTAAATATTGAATTGAATCCAGAACTTTTCCTTTTAGGACTGATGGATTCTAAGAGGGGAGATGAGTCATTATTTCAGCATGTGATTTCTGCAGCAAGACTATTGTATACCCACAGATGGAAAGATTTGGTACTATCTACCATAGAAAAATTGTTAGTGAAATTGACAGAATTTGCTAAGGTGACCAGACCAACTTTTTTGATGAGAGGAAAGTTGTCATTGCCTATCATCTTTGATTCCATTTATCTTTATTTCTTCCATCCTGCTTTTGATCAGGCACAATGAGCATTATTCCTATTCATTGGATACCTCTAATGTATCTGCATTGCAATCCTACACACATGTGTATGGACAATGCTTCAATAAACTCATTAGGATTTATTTTTAATAGGCATGTCTAATTTATTTATTTATTTAGCGTATGGTTGGTCACACACAGTATTAAAACACTTCATTTTTACAGGTTAAAAACATAATAATAAAAAAGGCATGTCTAAGATTACCTTGTAATGGGGCTACCTGAGCACTGTTTTGAATGCAAATGCAATCCAGGCACAAATGACAGCATCCTAATCCTACGTTCAAAAAAGGAAACACAGTGAAATACTTAAATCTACTGACATTTTAAAAGAGATTTAGTCATGCTGGTTTCAAGAGCTTCGGGTTTTAGTAATAATAGGATAGTTTGTTATCAAGGTTAGGATGGCGCCTTCCTTAATTTCATTTCAGAAAGCGGTGAAGACTGTGCTTTTTCAGATAGCTTCTAGATACAGGGGCCAATATAATGAAAGCAATTAGGGCGCCATTGTTTTTCATTTAGTTGAGGTGATTCATTGTGTTTTAATTAACAAATTTTAATGAGTTATGCCAGTGTTGGCAAACCTTTTCGCATGCACGCCAGGGAGCTGCTCTTCCGGTTTCCGTCACCCCTGTGTGCACAAAGACCAGCTGGCCAGCACACATGTGCACTGAAACCCAGAAGAGCAATGGGCGACGATGGCTCTGCATGCCACTTCCAGCACGCGTGCCATAGGTTCGCCATCATGAAGTTATGCAATATGTATTTCATACTTTACAGTGAATTGCCTAGAATCCTAAGTGGAGAATGAAGACACTTTTAAGTACCTAAAGTAATATGGGTAGTAAATAACCTAATGGTGATTACATTATTATAATGTACATTATAATTACATTATTGCCCTTTTATTATAATATACATTATAATTACATTATTGCCTTTTTTGTTGTCATATAATCTCAGAATTATTGATATCTATAACCTAGCATACTCATGTGAGCAGGTGTGAGCAGATGTTCAAATTTTGTTTGAATTTGTTAGATCAGATTTCCTTGCAAGGTATAAGAGGAGCTGACAGCAAATGTTGCTATCTGTGATCAACTTTACAGCATTCAAATCATATGCTAATGCAAGTTACTTTCACTATTCTACTGGATACTGACTTCTATCTGCATTAAAACAAGTAAACTGTATTTATTTTTTTCCCTTTAACAATCCTGCACATTTGTCTTCAAGTGTATAAACATTTTGTTTTTCAATAACATTTTATTAAAGTTGCAGAACTAACAATGTATAAAACACATTGCTTTCTCATGGAAGAAATACATTTTTCTCCCTATAGTAAAAGGTGCTAAGATGCTCTAGTTGACTGTTATAATGCTTAGAAAAATCGTAAGTATCACATGGGAAAAAAGTCACAAAGTACCTTTTCCCCTAAAAATCTTGGAAATTGTTTGTTGTGTTCATGTGTCTCACTAAGTCCTAATGTTTGTTTTAGGTTAGTGGGATATCCAGGCCCATCTGTTTCAGTTTACTATCCTCATTATCAAAATTGTCTATTAAAACCTTAATGTACAGCAGTTAAAACATATATAATATATATGATCAAATAAAGTAACAAAATAATAGCAAGAAGAGCAGTGGTCATAAGTTAAAAATTACATCAATATTATTCTAAAAAGCAACGAGAAAATAATTTCTTTGCTAAAGATCAAAAGATGGTGCCTGCTACCAGGCATAGCTTACTGAGAAGGATATTCAAAAGTTGCTGGGCAGTCACTTGCCACATTTCAGTCACAGTGAGCACAAAAACCAAGTTGTTTGAAGATTATTTTGGGATATAGGTAGTAACATATGGAAAGAATTCCTTTAGGTGGTGGTGGTCCCAAGCCCTGAAGAGCTATGTAGACTAAAGCAAGCACCTGAAATTGAGACAAGAAATGAAGTGGAATCTAGCAAAATTCATAAAAATTTGATGTGACAAGTTCATATTGTGCAGTTCTTATATATTTATATTTACTGAAATTTCTAACCCATCTTCAAGGACAAGCCCACTATTTACTTATTTATTTACTCACTTCCCATATTTATATACAGTACATTAAGAAACCACAGCAGTGCACAAAAACTGAGTATAAAACCTATAAAACCAAACGAAAGAGAGCATCATCATAACACCAGCATCCAAGTAAGCAATGACTCTAGAAGGTGACCAGGCTGAGCTGAGGGAGAGGTCAAACATGTCATAAGTCACAAGTTCCTGTGTGCCCACAAGAATTCTAAATCTAGCCCACCTTGAATTCCTTTCTTAATTCCCATGCATTCCCTTAATGGTCACTTGGCCAGACTCTTGTAGAGAACTAAGCTTGCAATAAATCTTTATGCTCATTTGAACTGCCTGAATCTCTTGATTTCCCTGGTGCTTGTTATATCCCGAATCATACTTACTTGAAATCTCTGTAGATGAGCCAATTTTCACTGACTTCCTGAAAGCCATTAGGACAGTACGATGTACAGTACTACAATAATCTAAGCCAAATATTACCAGAGAATAGATTACCATTATAAGATTGTCTGTATCCATATCAGTCAATTGCTAATGATTCAGCACTAGTACAACTGTCAAGTTGTCTGGATTAATCTTTAGTTTGTTAGCCCTCATCCCGTCCATCAGCATAGCCAGGTTGTGTTTCTGCAATTTCACTGGTTCACATGGATGTGATGGAAAAAAATGAGTTTGAGTTCGGTTATAGATGACATCTTACTTTAAATCTCTGAATGGTCTCACTCAATGATTTCATGTAGATGTTAAACGGCATATGGAGAAATGAAACTTTTGGAACCCAAAAAGCTATAAGATTGAGCAGAAATGGAAATAGCAATCCAGGAATGAGTTTAAAGGTGTTCCCTCCTCAATTACTTGGGACAACCTCTCAAGAATATGTGGTCAGTGGTATTGAAGGTATTGAAAGACCCAGGAGAATCAACATTTCATTTCCCCTATCTCCTGGGAAAGACCATTCAACAGTGGACTAAGGCCTAAACACCAGTTGATATGAATCTAGAAAATGTGTTTCATCCAGGAGTGTCTGGATCTGGTCATCCACTGCATGCTTAATTCCAGGAAAGAATGTTGCCCATTGGCCTATAATTGTATAGATCTTATGGATCCAATTGCAATATCTTGATGAGTAGACTCACCGGAGCCTTCTTTATAGAAAGAGGGACCACTCCTCCTTGTAAGGAAGAATTCATAATTGCTGTATGTATATATATATTATTTATACATATATAATACATTATTTATAATCCATCTGAACACCACTTTCCTACTAGATGGAATAATTGACAGAGGCAAGGAGCAAGCATCATGTGGTTGGCTAATCTTGTCTGTGCATCTTCTCTCTAAAATCAGTCCTTAAAATTAAACTCAATCAAAGATGTCTGATGAGATAATTCTGGACATCTCTACAAACTGAACTGCTATATTCTAGAGTCTAAGAATGAAATCAATGTTGCCATATAAATGAGTAACCAACATATCATAGTGAGCTACTGAGGGTTCTATACAATATGTAACTGGGCCAGGTCCCAAAAGGCCTTAAATCACTGAAAAAGCTCCATTGGGTGACACTGAGATGACACAGAGAAAAATGGCTGTTTAACTATAATCACTACAAAGCAAACTTGATAATTAGCTTTTACTAGTGTTCAGTCAGATGCAAGATGAGTTTTCCTTACTTGCTCCATTTCCTTCAGCTAAAATTTATACCAATGGGCTTTGCACATGGGAAAAGATGCTCAGGAGTTATTGTTTCAAGTGGTCTCTTATTTCACAAAACACCTAAATATTGATGGAAATACCAACCATACCAATTGGAAACCTTGATTGAGCCCTTTGAAATCCATTGGAATCTATATGTGAGCTATTCTGATGGTGCCATCCCTGCAGAGAATCACTGTAAGCCTAAATCCCAACGTGGTCTTTCCTGAGTAGCCTCAACCAAAGAAGACCAACATGGATGTTGAAATCCTTCATAATTATCATACTAGCAATCCCCAGCACCAAGTCCAAGGCAACCCTTGCAAGCTCAGGTAGGAACAATTGATCAGCAAGATGAATGACATGTGTTGCTATACAGTACAACCAACAAAATGTTCTGAATACCCAACACATGATACAAAATTTCAAGATTAGTATTTGGAATGGACAGAAAGCCTTGAATGCAAAATATATTTCCTATTGTAATTTGGGATCCTGGCTCTAATATTTCTTGTACTACGTATGCATATACTAAGCAACAGTACATGCAAGTTAGAGGGTAAGGCTACCACAATGCTTCCGTGTGAGAGAGTAAGAAGAAGAGATATTACTCCTCCTATACCATACTTTTATCTGCAATTATGCTAAATTGAGTCCCCTCACCCTTACCATGATATTATTACAGAACTATTCCAGGCACATAATTGCAAAGAGAAAAAGATGAGTCAGCTCTCACCCTTGGTCCATCCGATAGGGGGCTTCTTCCGAGGGGCAATTCCCTTTGGTGTCTCTGCCTTTGAGTTTTTCATACAAAGGCTAGCTTGCCAAAAGCAGCTCCATCCTCTGTTCTTCAAAGCCCCCCAGGAGCAGCTGAAGCAAATGCCCAGGGAATGGATATCCCATATTGGTTTCATGGATATTTGGGACTGATACAGCAAACATACTGACAAGGTGCTGCGTCGTGGTGAACAGGACAGATCAATGATAACCTTAAGAAGTCTGGAGTGAAGATCAGAAATGGGATATTTTAGCGATCCTTGCTGCTCTCTGAGCTTGTTTGTTTTCTTGCAGACGTTTCATTACCAAACAAGGTAACATCATCAGTACTGATGATGTTACCAAGTTTGGATGATGAAGCATCTGCAAGTAAACAAGCAATCTCAGAAAGCACCAAGGATCCCTCATGTCAACCTTAAGCTACTAATATTCTCCTTTATTAGGGTATGCTTTAGTCGGCATCATGAATCCACTGGTTCCTGAAAGATTTTTTTGCATAACAAACTGCTTCACTGGCCCCCAGTACTTCAAACTAGGTTCATTGTGCTTTAAAATATATATGTGTATTCTTTGAATACTTTCTCAGTCCTTTCAATTTCTGTATGACATGAACCCTCAGTACTATGTCTGACTAGTTCAGTTGTCCATTTATAAGCTACTTTCTTAGCTCTTGAAATTGATTTTGAGTAAATTGTTTGCTCATCTTATATTTGATTGTCTAAGAAAAGATAAGACATCCCAGATTTCAGGTGAGATAAGTACGTGCAAATAATCAGTAAGACTTAAAAAGTAGACATACTGTATCTATGGAACAGCAGAAAAACTGTAAGAAAATCAAATTCAGCCAGGGTTTCATATTCCTGTGAGCCATAATCACGGATTCGTGTTTTCGTGGTAGTGATGGCAAAATTTATTATAGTAAAAATTTGGCTACTGCTTGCTGCATTCACCCTGAATGAAAGTATAGCACAGGCATCTCCAGTTTCACAATGATCATCATCTAAGTAAGATGGCTGGTGACCTTTGTGTGTTGGGTGTCTGTGTTAAGCTACTTTAACTTGACTTTAAGCATACATGTAAGAATTTAGGCAGAGGTAGAAAACCTAGATTTTGGGCTTTGGGGGTAAAAATAAAGATTTTTGCAAAATTTCATACTTTTGTGGAAAGAGTTCACATGTAATCATCATAAATATGGAGACCCATATTCTGGTGTTGGTAGTTAAAAGAAAAAAGAAAGCAATTTTATATTGCAGTAATAATATTAAATAATAGCGTAGATACTTACTGTACTTTTGAGGTACCCTTACTACTTGAGTTAAAATGTCTCTCTAATAGATCAGGGCCTTAAAATTAAATGGGTGATTGCACTGCCTTCTTGGCTTCTAAGGGAAAAGTGTTTTGTGTATTACAACTCCAACAACTCCGATTTGTCACTTCTTTCATGTTGATGATTTTTTTAAAGACAAGTTTTATTTTTTAAAAATTCTTTCATCATACATATTTTATGAACAGAGTCTTGACTGGGTCACATCTTATACATAATCAAAATCATCATTATAATATTACTTAATCTTCCCATTTTTTCCAATATTCATCTCTTGTGTAATCCTTTATCACAAATGTATCATTTTTCTCCATATCTTCTTATTTTGACTTCTGCCACATTAATTCCCCCCCCATTATTTTTTATCATTTTCAATTTTATATTCAAATAACATCACTTTATGCCTTATATTTCTTCTCAATTACAATTGCTCCAGTTGTTTACAATCTTTCTTCATTTCCGGAAGTGTCTCTCTAATTCCTTTTTCCTAATCATTAATAGTCAAACATTCATCATAATTTGCATTGTTATCAAAATTAATAATATTATTAAATTACTTATTTTCACCTTTCTGTCTGCTGTGGTTTATCACAAACATGTTCTATTTCTTCTTCTTTGTAATAATCTTCTCTCTTACCACTATTATAACAATTAAAATTTCATTCTAATGTAAAAAGCTATAAAAAACACTATTATTATTATATTGTCTACTTTCCCATTCCCATTTATTAATCTATTTTATGTATATTTGCTAATGTTTACTTCAGCATCCTTCATCTTTAACCATCATTTCGAAATCTTTTTAGCATCCCCTTTTCTAATGGTTCTTTGCATGACCTTTTATCTCGCTCTAATTTCTCAATTCTCTCTTTTTTTCTTTTTATATATGTTACATTTCATCTTCTGGCTTCCTTTTATCTTTTTTTGTTGTATTGTTTGAACATCCCTCACCAAACTTTTCTCTTGTCTCTTCCAGATATTCCCCTTTCCCCCTTTTATCTGTTTCTTTTTTAGGGGGGATTTTCCCCCTTTCCTCTCTGCTCTTTTGACATTCCCAAATTTCTGCAATATTTTCTATCTGATTTCTAATTTTGGATACTTTCTCTTCAACATGGTTAATTTCTTGTTTTGTCATTTAAATTTCCCTCTTCCAACTCCTCTTCCTTTTCTTTTTCTGTATTTTTAAATGAATTTTCCATTTTTTTTTGCTTATTAAAGATTCACGCATGCTTTTAAACATCAAAAGTAACTCTTTATACATCTGCAACTCCATTTTATAACAATTTAATACCTCCCCAATTATATCTCTATGCACTTGACCAGAATTTAAAGTCTATATAGTTTTCTTCTTTCCTTCTTCGATTATTCCTTTTGTTCTTTAAAATTAAAATGTTCTTCTCAATTATTATCCAAATTCAGCAACAGTCAAATCCAATTATGAAGCTATCTTCCAGAAGTGAAGGGAAATAAAACACAGTCACTCCTTAAATGTTCTCACAGTGTCCAACTTATCTTTTCTATATAGCCAAGGTCAAAATTTCCAGCTGCTATTTCTTCTGTTTTGTTTATTTGAATAGAAAATTATAGTACTTTTTTTTCCTTCAGCAGATGGCACTCTCCGTTTCTACTCTGTTACCAAATAGTCTATTTTATTTTATTTTTTATTTTTATTTTTATTTTATTTTGAATTTATATACCGCACCTTCTCCCGAGGGACTCAGGACGGTGTACAGCGAGATAAAAACATACAATACAAACATTAAAAACAATTAAAAGAATATATATTAATTTGGCACCAGTTTAAAATGACGCACCAATTAAAAATATTTAAAAATATATTAAGCCAGCCCGGCTTGTTGAAAAACCCAATTGTTTATCTAGTAATTTTTTGAATTATTGTTATCTTCTGAAAATCATTTTTTCCCTTTTAAAATCTTTTGCTTTTCCCAATTTTCCAAATCCAAGATTTTCTCTTAGATTCTTTATATTACAGTTCACGCTTTCTCTTTATTCCGCATGTGTGATTCCCCCCCCAAATGCCAGATAGCCGCTAGTCCAAGCTCCAGAATTCTTTTAAAACTTCAACTTCAACTTTTCTTAGTATAATTTGGCATTTATCTCACTCAATTCTAGCACTCCATCCAAACTCTACTCCTGCACAATTCTTTGGTTCGGTTGTCCCAACTTCAAGGTGGCCACCCTAAGATGGCCCCCGCTGCTGCTTCGGGAGAGCTGTTTCTGTTCCAGCGAGGAAATTGCCAATTCCTCACAGTCCACGAAATGCCTCTCCTTTCTTCACAGTCCCTAGAGGATGGCTATGGCTCAAAAGCCTCCCGGAAACGGTTCATCCGGCTGGATTTCACGCGGCTCATCAGAGCCCGCTATTTTCCAGTCCGTTCCCACTGTGACGTCAGCCGGAAGTCTTTTCATGATGATTATTATATGTTTGTGATTGTGGAGTTTTCTTTTATCTAAAACTGCTTGCTACTATAACTCTTATTTTAACATTTGTACATGTGTGTGCAACTGTAAAACTTTGATGAGATGAATTGCTATTTTCAAAAATATTCTGTCTTCTAAAATTATGGGACAGTGTTATACTACAGGTGCCGCATTTTAGTATCAGAGAAATGAAGCCTACTCATTCTTCATGCTGCTGTTGTGTTTTTTTTCATGCTAGAGCTTGTAAATCTCAGGCAGTGTTTTGCGTTCTGTGTCTCCCGCCCTACTCTACTGCCATATATGTGTCTGGCCTTAATGACAACAAGGTTATTATTTGTGAAAGGGGAAAAACAATTACTTGATGGGGAAATCATTAATTTAATAATGCCAATCTGCACATGCTTCAGTAACCTAAAAAGACAGTTACAACTTGGTTACATGTTTTTTGTTATTTTAATAGCCTGAATACTCCTTGCTTCTTCTAGCACATTAGGGTTAAGGATATGTGATTTTGCAAGTCTGCATTAGGGAACTGAGTAATTTTTTTAAAGGATGAAATCATAGTCCCACAAGAAATATGAAACTGACTGCACTGCATACCTCAATTTAGACCCATTCCCTGATGCAGTTTTAGCTACTAATAAAATGCATTTCAGTCTCCTGTAATTATCCTTTCAAAAAGATGCAGTTTTACTGTAAGTTGTCTGATTCTGTTTTAAGTGAACAAGAAAACCTGGGAGAGGTTGTCTCTTTAAATCAGAACTGCAGTGTTGATGGACCCTCTAGCAGGCATGGTAAGAACCATTCTCACCTCTGCAGCAGGGAGCTTGACCATAAAGATCTTCACATTCAATCAAAACGTTTTCTGTTTTAATATGCACTGTACCAGTCCTATTCCCATGGTTACAGCTCCTGCTCCTTTGGTTGTTTCTAGCATGTTGGAAAATTGAAGCAGAGCACATTTGCTCGTACAGGAGTTTAAAATATAATGAAAGCAGCCCTGTTGTGATTTGCATTTTAAATTCTCTCTCTCACTCACTCACTCTCTCTCTCTCTTTCCCTCTCTCCCTCCCCCCCCTCTTCTCATTGTACAGAATGCTGTGGCAATAGCTTCAGTTCATTTGCCACAGTCTGTCTTCTCCTCATCTGCAGCCTGGCAATCTGTTGATAACTCCTCTTGCAAGCTACAGTTTATTGCCTTTCGGAATGGAAAACTCTTTCCCAACACCGCAAACTCGTCTCACATTGCAGGTTATGGGAAGCAGAGGGTCATTGGCACACCCGTAGTCTTCATTAAAATAGGTAAGTGTTTTGCATTGCTTTTTTTTTTTTTTAATTCTAAAGCCTAGCTATACATGAGAGTATCTTGTATAATGGTGCAGTGTAGCACGCAGGTATGCTGATCTGAGAATTGCCTCTGCTCTAACAGAAATGTGTTTTTTGTTACCAGTGTCTTCATATTTTAAAAACAAACTTGTACAGCTGCGAAGCTTGGCAATTGTAAATACGATAGGGTTCTCTTTTGTGGCTTGCTGAAGTTTATTAGAAAGTAAAAAAAAAGAAAAGAGGATTGTGTGAAGGAGAGGAAATGAAATGTTGCTTTTTAGTTCTGATTATACCCATAGAAAGTCTGGATCCTAAAAAGATTGGTTGCAGTCCTGTTGCATGTACGTTGATAGTCATCAGTGTATCTTTTGAAATGATAAATGTACGGTATAAGAAGTGTTTTTGTTGATGAAAGTAATGGGTTTCATATTCTCTTTTTAGTGTAAGATTCAGACCATGATCTATTAAATATTTCATTATATCCCGAATTGGGTTCACATTTTAGAAGGTTATAATTTAATTTTTAGACTACGAAATTGTCTCTGATGTTAATTCTATCCAAGATATTAGTTTAAATTTACTATTCTTGTTTGAAACCATCGTTTTGATTCAGGGCATTTAAGTAGCACTGTTATTTGCAGATTAACCTAATAAAATGGCAATTGTAGACAATATTAACTATTCCAAACTTTTGTACATTGCTTTCTGCTGATAGACCAGGAGAGGGATTTTTGTTCTCTCTAATGTCTACGTATGTGTACAAAAATTGCTATCGGCTTCTATAAAGAGGATATAGCAATACAGCATTTTCCACTTCATTGCTTTAATTCAGTTTGTTCCTTTGGCAGATGGGTGCAATATCGGAAACCTCACCAGTCCTCTTATTATAACGCTGAAGCACTTTACCCAGGGCATAAACCCTATTGCAGTCTTTTGGGCTTTTGACCTTCTAGATGGACATGGAGGCTGGTGGGGAGAAGGGTGCCACATAATTAGCTCTGCAGACAATATTACCACTTTTCATAGTACTCACTTCGGTAACTTTGCAGTGCTAATGGTGAGTATATAACTTCACATATGTGTCTGTGTGTGAATCTGCTTGCCTGTCTTTACTTAGCAGTATCTGGTTATTAATCTTGCCTTCCTTTTAGTTTAGGGAATTAAATGAGGGTAACTTAAAAGAGCCATGCTTAATACTTGATAATACACAATTATATTACCTGCTAGCAGGCCTTGTTATGAATGATTTAATGAAAAATGAAAGTTCTATCATGATACTACAGTAATGAAAGTAAATTATCGGTGTATGTATACGTATGTGTATGTATATGTAAATATATATACATATATATTCACACACACATTAATACATATTCATTCTTCTATACTTATCAAGAAAGGATGTCTTTTACATATCTAGTGCTGTGTTGATCATATTAATTAATTGCTGGCTTACTGCAATATTGAATCATTAATAAATGGAAAAAATGAAGATTCCTTGCTTCACTAAACAAGGATTCTGTAGTCCTTTCTGACAGTTCTTGAAATTCAGGTCCCTGTGCTGACGATAGCATTCTTTTTACTAAATGGCTGCTTTTAAAGAAAAAAAAAAAAGCCATATTTATGTGTACTGCTAACACAAAGGCTGTTGAGGCTTTTCCTCAGGCATATTTGCTGTTTATAATGCAGTTATTTAATAGTTTTATTAACTGGGAAGTTACCAGGGCAGACACAAAAGGCATATTAAATTAGATAACGTATCAACAGTGAAGCAAATGTAAACAGCGGTTGAAACGTATGAGGGATACTTACATTTTCTGCAGCCTACAGACGGGTTACTCAGTCTCGGGAGCTGTTTGAAAGGAAGTAGTGTTCAGTCATCTTCTCTCCCTAATGTTGAATCCGGCATTCATTCCAGAATATACTTGTGAAGAAAAGGTGCCCCTTATGAGCGCCTCTGAAAGGTTCATACTTAAGTAAATAATGCAATGTGTGTAGAATGTGTATAGAACGGCAAAAAAACAGATGACAGGAATTGAAAAGACATGTGCAGAGAATGCCAATCTGCTGCTGTCAGATGGAGCACAGATGTCAGCCGGTCATGGACCAAGTCAGTGACAACAAGTATCTAAATACTGTACCAATCTTGCTTTCTACTTTATTAAATGGAATGCCTTCAGTATCACATGACACATTTGTTTTCACACTTGCTGCATATTATATTAGAATGCCCTAAAGATCCAGTGATTGAAAGTTTTGCTTTCTAAGCATGCAAAACAAACAAGGCTATATTTGAACATTTTAGTTAGCTTTTGATGGAGGAAGGGGGAATTCTGTTGTGGTTTCCCATAATCTATTCCAAAAGTACCTCTTGGTGCTGCAGATACCACACCCATTTCAGCTGACTAGTTTGGTAGTGTCAATGATATCCTTAAAACTTTGAATTTATTTATAAAGTGGAGAAACTTCTCTCTACTTTTGTAAACCATCTCAAATAAATTTATGTTATCGTATGTATTTTAATTTGAGGTTCATATCATTTTGAGGGGTGCAAAATGTCTCCTGTTAATAGGACTTCACATAGTCACGAATGAGTTAAAGACTGCAAGACTCCTGGGTACTTCACTGTAATGTCTATTAGAATATCAAAAACAGCCTAAAATTTTGTGAACATAGAATTGACCTCATTGAACTAATGTAACAAGATTCCTCTAGAAAACAAGCCCATTGTTGTGTTTGCTTTGTGATTTTAACAGATTTTCTGTAATTATCAGGAGAATCATTTAAAAAGCATTATTAGTATATGAATCATATGCTAGTATAGTTTGGAAATTAAAGCAGGAGATATTAAAGCAGAAGATATAAGCTGAAGTTGACTGAAATAAGATATTCAACAATGTGTATGTTCAATTTGGGTTTAAAAAAATCCTGTTTGTACGAGCTTTATTAGAATTGAGATAGTACAATCTGTATTCCAGTCAGTGGTGAAACACATTGAGTGTCCTTGAGCAAGTCACTCTGTTTCAGCACTGGGGAAGGTCTGTGGATCTGCAAGCATTGCCTACAGAAGTTCCAGATTCAAATCCTGGCTTTTCTAATTGTGCTAGGAGAAAATACTTCCTGAAATCCTGGACTCTGTCTATTATTATTGACATTTATTAAGTTAGATGGACCAATGGTTCAACTTAGGAAGAAGTGACCTCATCTGTTTTGCAAGGTTACTAAAGTGATACAGGGATAAGCTTCAAATACATAAACAGGCCTTAGGGAATACAACCTTCATTATAATGATACAAGTCTTTTTTGTGAGATGTTCTTTGTTGGGCTACATAGATTTCTGCTGATCTTCTTCTCCTTTTAAACTGAAAAATAACTGCAAAGTTCTAAATAAAATTGTAGCCTTAAAAAAATGAACTGAATGGTTAGCTTGTAGTAAAGCAGATACATTAGCAAGATGACTGAGGTTTTCAATGTGATTTCTGTTGCTGCAAATGTAACGTAACATTTGAGAACTATAGGTTCAAATTACCCTGTTTATATTTCTCATTCTACCTGACTGCTTATTGGTGTCTGTCAAGCTTTTTATACATAATGATGCTCCCTCAGAAAATCAAGAATTAGCAGTGTTCAACTGTTTAAAGGGTTGCTGAAGCCACTGAAAAATAATTTATTTTGCCATGAGTTCTGTTCAGATTGAACAGAGTATGTTTCAGAACATCCTATATCTATGAGAATCTCTTTGGCTTTATAAGTATTAAAATGCCCATACCTACTACCGGTAGAGGCTATACTAGTGTGCCTGATGAATATGAGGACCATCTGATGCAACTCTGGTGATCAACTTCATTGATCACCAGGGTTGATTTGGCTCATCTTGCTGGCTAGGTAGGCGTTCCTCCCTTCCTCACATCTTCATGTCTGTCCCTCTTGAAGCTGCACACTCATTGGAAAAGAACCAACATCCCAGCTAGAAAGAGTGTACCAATCTTCAGTCAATGGTATACAGTAGGTGTGCCTTCCTGCTACAAACTCCAAACAAATGAAATTCAGTGGTGAAAAAAGTAAGGTTCTACATTTAGGCAAGATGCACAGGTACAGTATATGTGGTGCCTCACTCAATAGTGGTGACTATGAGAGGGATCTTGGAGTCCTAGTGAACAACCATTTAAATATGATCCAGCAATGTGCAGCAGCTGCCAAAAAAGCCAACACAGTTCTAGGCTGCATAAACAGAGGGATAGAATCAAGATCACGTAAAGTGTTAATACCACTTTATAATGCCTTGGTAAGGCCACACTTGGAATACTGCATTCAGTTTTGGTTGCCACAATGTAAAAAAGATATTGAGACTCTAGAAAGAGTGCAGAGAAGAGCAACAAAGAGGATTAGGGGATTGGAGGCTAAAACATATGAAGCAACTGGGTATGTCTAGTTTAATGAAAAGAAGGACTAGGGGAGACATAGCAGTGTTCCAATATTTCAGAGGCTGCCACAAAGAAGAGGAGTCAAGCTATTCTCCAAAGCACCTGAAGGCAGGACAAGAAGCAATAGGTGGAAACTAATCAAGGAGAGCAGCAACTTAGAACTAAGGAGAAATTTCCCAACAGTGAGAACAATTAATCAGTGGAACAAGTTGCCTCTAGAAGTTGCGAATGCTCCAACACCGGAAGTTTTTAAGAAGATGTTGGATAACCATTTGTCTGAAGTGGTATAGGGTTTCCTGCCTAAGCAGGAGGTTGGACTAGAAGACCTCCAAGGTCCCTTTGTTCCAACTCTGTTATTCTAATATCCAAATAATATGCATTATGGAAAAATAAAGTTCCAAAAATGACTGGGATGTTTTAAGGCAGGGTGACACTCAAGTTTCAGGCTTTCTGAAAGTCAGCCATTGTCCTTGTTTCCTGTGAGAGACTGCAGGCAAATTCAAGTTTGAGAAATCCATTGATGCGGAAAGATCATTATACTGTCATCAACAGTTATAAAGAAAACTAAAGTCTCTTGACGTTCCTGTTTTTTCACTAAGAGATTTATCTGAGTCTTTTTCTCAGTAGGCCTTTTGCCTCTGTTTTGCTATGTCATCTATCTTTGGGCCCAGACATTTTAGGAAAATTATTATAAAATTATTATGGGTAGGCTGCTCAATTTTTAGAGTGAATATTAAGCTAACTGTGGTAGAAGGTTGTTCTTAGGCATTTTACATTTAGAATCAAATGGAAAGGACTAGAATCTAATCAGCAACTTCAGAAATGATCAGTTTTAAATTATTCACCACTCTTATTTTATTTCATTCCATTTTATATATTTGCAGTTTACCCTCTTTTCCTATGGACTGTCTGGGCGTGTAAGAAAGACAGATAGATGCTCAGTTTGTACTTGAAGAGCAATAGATAGTAACAATTACCCACAATCTGAAGTAGACAGAAAATTTTAGTGCTAGACAAACATGGAGTTTTACTTTGAAGAATTAGTCTCAAATAAACTGATAAAGTGTTTTACCCAAGATTTGAGGGTGGGAAGGTGAAAACTAGTTAAACAGAAAATGGTGATAATTTAAGCATATGAACCAAACTGGAAAATGAAAAAAAAAGTCAGAAAAGCTGTGGTAAAATATAAAAGGCAAAAGAGAAGAGGAAGGAGTTTAAATATGGGATATTTAATCATATAGTGAATATGAGGTAGAAGTGTAGAACTTTGCTGAAGAGATTGGACTGATGGTGTTCTTGAATGAGATATAAAAGTCAAAAAAGACATTACTGAAGTTGTTACATTGATCTAATTGACAAACACAACATGAGCTAGAAGGCCTATATGTATAACATCAAGAACCAATGTCATATTGTATGTGTGCTACTAGTACAGGTAGTCCTGGACTTACAACAGTTCATTTAGTGACCTGTTACAATGGCACTGAAAAATGTAACTTATGACTGTTTTTTCATACTTACGACCTTTGTAGCACCCCTATGATCATGTGATCAATATTCAGATGCTTTGGCAAATGACTCCTGCTTATGACCGTTGCCGTATCCCAAGGTCATGTGAAAATCTTTTGCAACTTTTGACACACAAAGTTAATGTAAAAGCCAGATTCACTTAACAACCCTGCTACTAACTTATCAGCTGTGGTGATTCACTTAACAACTATGACAAGAAAGGTCATAAAATGGGGCAAAACTCACTTAACAAATATCTCACTTAACAACAGAAATTTTGGGCTCAATTATGACCGTAAGTTGAGACTACCTATACAGCAGTTCTTAGAGTCCATTGTTCCTTGAATAGTCAGAAGGTCTTTAGCTGTGATATCAAGATTTAGGAGGAGCTGTAGCTCAGAGGCACCCCAAATAATTGTTAACATTTTTTCTATCCATCCAATGCTGTTCTCTATCTATCCTAAAAGAAAAGCTTAGAAATTGTAACTCTAAAATGTCTATTGACACACCATTATTTTAATTTTTGTAATAGTTTGACAAATTATTGATTGTTTTGTCCTTGAAAATATGCAGTTTCAGAGACATGTTGATAATAGTGGCTTATGTACACTGAACATTTAAAACAATATTTCTAATATTGATGTTGAATGTCTACCAAACAGCAAAGGTCCATCAGTTATTGCAGTAAGATGCAATGTACAAGAGTCTCTAGAGAAAGGTAGATTAATCAGAAGTAGGAAACAGAATGAAACTAATGCCAAGACAATGATAAGTACCGAAAATAGAGTGCCTAAGTATATGTGAAGTTGTTAAACTATCACAGGTCCTGTGATGTATTTGTCTGAAATATATATTTCTTTATATAAAAAAATATGTCCTTCCTAATTTATGACAAATTAAGGGAAGGCTGGGAAATAATAGAAGGAATATTAGACATAAATAATCAAAAGACAGAATGGAAGTTTATTGTGAGTTTATCTCAAAAATGGGAACTTAGTCCATGTGATGAAAAACCTGGAGGAAAAAACATTCAAAATATTCTGTTGCACCCTAACCAATTCACTAATTAAGAACAGTGAGAAGTTCCTTTTACAAGTTCTATGTTTCTGTAGTTGTCCTAATATTAGTGTTAAATACACCTTTTGAAATTCTATGTAATTGTTGCTCACTTGAGATT